AATGGGGGTGAAGGGGTTTGTGGCGTGGCCTCCCCCCGGGGGGGGGGGTGATTTCTCACTTTCTGTCTCTCTCTGTCTGGTGAGCGCACGCGCCCTATAGCAAAAACCTGTCCAAAAAAATAATAATAATAATATTAGAGAGGCCGGCAGGTGGCATCATGATTAAGAGCTCCCACATGGCCAACCATGGTTCGAGTCCTAGACTTTGCTGCTTGCCTTTTCACTTTCTCTCTCTCACTCTGTCCTGCTCTGGTCAAATAAAAATAAAATAAAATAAATTAATTAAATAAATACAGTTAAAATAAAAAATAATTCTTTCAAAAATATTAGAAGAAAAAACTACAGGACACATGGCTAGCTCAGAGGCCACTAATAGACTGATTTTAGCAACACCATATCAATTAAAGGCAGTTTTAACTGTACATTAGAAAACATACATTTTTCAGTTATTTCCTTCTAAAATTAGAATTAAATGGATTCTCTTGCCAACAAACTGATTATTATTTTTTTATAATAGACATTTACTTAAAGTAATACACTTGCCGACCAAATTATTTTTAAATTAAATTTTTCAGGTTCGACCCCCACTTCATAAAAATACTTTAAGAGCAACTGCATCCATGACTGCAATCTAATTACTTCTTTGTCCACTCTTCTCTCTCTTTTCTTTCCTGAATAACCTCTTTCAGATATGGTTCAAGGTAGAAATGATCCTCCTCGTATTTTGTCCACTGCTCTTTTTTTTTTGGAGAGATTTTCACTGTAGGGCGCGTGCGCTCGCCAGACAGACAGAGAGAGACATAGAGAAAGAAAGCGAGAAATCACCCCCCAGGGGGGATGGTCACGCCGCAATCCCTTCTCCTCCATTCTCCTCTCGGGATCTTGGGCACGCACGCACACGCGCCCGGCGTGAGTTTTAAGCCACCAGGTCCGGGAAACGAACCGCGGTAGACTACGTGGGAGTCCAGCGACATAGCCATTACGCTAACTGCTGGTTCCCTGTCCACTGCTCTTTAGGCAAGATCTGCTGCCTCACGGTCAGACCCAGGGCTCTCTTAATGTGAAACATCCTGTCATTATAAAGGTTCTCAGGAAGTCTTCTTATGGCTTCCTTCACATCTTCATTCTCGTATATCTTATCATCTTGCATTAACTCCAGTTTATTGAATCCTGCAGCACTGAAATACCACTTTCGAATACCATCCAGCCACCGACCTGATGCTGAAACGGCCGGCCTGCTCGCCATTTTGACCCGAGAGCCAACAAACTGATTATTAAGGTCTTCTTCCTCCCAGCTCATCCAAAAGGAAGATTTTCTGGGTCCCATGTCCTCCCGTGACTTACTGTGACCTCTCCCTTGCCCTTCATCAGGAAAGCTTTCTCCTCCAGGCATTCTGGCTTTCTCCCCATTCCTCAGCTGACAGTGCATCTCCAAAGGGTCAAAGACTTACTAACCACTACTTCCAAAGGCCCTTTCGTCTGCTCACCTCTAACTCACCAACTAGAAGCATCCAACTAGGACTCTTTCCTTCTAGACACACTTCTCTTATTACTCTCTGCCTCTCAAGGTGTCAGTTTCTCCCAGCTTTGTCTACCTGTCAAAGGGGATAGAGGTAGGAGGATTTGGTTTTGTTTTTTAATAGCTTTACTATTTTTTTTTGGAGAGGTTTTTGCTACGGGGCGCATGCCCTCACCAGAGAGACAGAGAGAAAGAAAGCGAGAAATCACTCCCCAGGGGGATGGCCACGCCACAATCCCTTCTCCTCTGTCTCCTCTCGGGATCTTGGGCACGCATGCACACGTGCCCGGCATGAGTTTTAAGCCACTGGGTCCGGGACACGAACCGCGTTTAACTACATAGGAGTTCAGCGACATAGCCATTACGCTAACTGTTGGTCCCAATAGCTTTACCTTTTATACCTGTCTCTAATTATTTACCTACATGTTGGGGTTCAGTACTTTATTCTCTTTCCATCTCACTCCACATGTTCTCCCAGGCAGTTTCATTCACTTCTCTTTTTATATAAATAGGAATCTACTAAATCTAAATATGCGAGGACTTCTAAAAATTCATAGAAAACTGGAATTAAAGTATGATTTTATTTTGGTGCAAGAAATTTTGAAATCCACGCACAGATTTTTTTAATGCACCTTTTCCGTGAACTTTCTGAAAACTGGTACTGAGATCCGACTTTTCTTCTGCGCCCTGCACTCTGTTTCCCTCACTGAGTGTCTGTACTGGGCTAACCAACAGGCAACTCAAACTCAACACTCGTGAGAGTAAATAAACTTCTTTTTCCAGCTGCTCATTCTATATTCTTTATCACAATTAATGGTGACATTCTCCTTTGAGTCAGCCAAGCTAGGATCCTGTTATCTTCAATTCCTCTCAATTTCTCACAAACTACCATTCAGTATCTCAAGTTCTATCTACTCTACCTTCTAAACACCTCAAGACTCTATTCTCCTCTGTACCACTGCTTCAACTCAAGCCCTTAGGTGGGCCACTATGGGTTTCCTATCTAGTCTCCAATCCACCGCTTATGCTGCCACCAGCGCTATTTTCAAAATATCATGTCACCCACTTGCTGACAAAAATCCTTCAATGATTACTCACTGCTGTAAAATCCAAACTACTGAATGGGTGTACAAGGTTCTTCTGGGTACCCTTTTTCCCTGTCATCTCATCTATCATTTTCCCACACATCACACTCCATATATTTTTATGCCTTTGCATATGTTTCTTTTGCCTGGCATGGCCCTGCCTTGTCACACATCCCCTTTTTTGTTTCAGAACTCTGGCCCAATGTCAATTCTTCAGTGACACCTTCCTTAAGTCACCCACTTGCATGAATCGTTTTCCTCTTATTCCTATGGTATCTTCCACCACTGTTGTAACTACTGGTTTTAGATCTCTGTATGCCTCTCATTTCTCTACTGAGGCCTTTGAAATTAGTGAGCTTATAGTTATCTTTAACATATGGTACATTGTTATTACTTGACAAATATTTGTTTTAAAAAAGGGCAAATTCAAAATAAAAAAGGGACCAGCAGTTAGCATAATGGCTCTGTCGCTGGACTCCCATGTAGTCGACCGCGGTTTGCGTCCCAGACCCTGTGGCTTAAAACTCACGCTGGGTGCGTGTGTGTGCGTGCCCAAAATCCCGAGAGGAGAACGGAGGAGAAGGGTTTGCAGCATGGCCATCCCCCCTGGGAGGTGATTTCTCACTTTCTGTCTCTCTGTCTCTCTCTGTCTGTCTGGCGAGCGCACGCACCCTCAAAAACCTCTCAAAAAAAAAAAAAGGCAAATTCAAAATTCAATTTATATACACATTAAAGATGATATTTCTTTATACAGATAAACCATGTCAAAAACTCCCCCCCCCCAATTAAAACCAAAATAGGTAAGTTATAAAAATCAAATTATCAGAGAACCAGCAGATGGTTGTAATGGTTATGTCACTGGCTTCCAAATGCGGTTCGAGGTCCAGACCTAGTGGCTTGAAACTCATGCTAGGTACTTATATGTGCGTGCCCAGAATCCTAAGAGGAGAATGGAGGAGAGAGGACTGTGGCATGGCTAACCCCTATGGGGGTGATTTCTCCCTTTCTGTCTCTTGTCTCTCTGACGAGCACACCTGCCCTATAGCAAAAATTCTCTCTCTCTCTCAAAAAAAAAAAGTTATCAGTGCTTGTAGCTTTCTAAAACAAAAAGACTATATCTTTGAGCTTGTTTTTGTTCACTATTCCAACATTTGTGGAAGATAACTAGTTTCTCTTTATTTCTACAGTAATCTGTTTTGACAAGCTTTCTATATGGTCTGCTCCTTCCCTACAAATAGCACCACAGGCCTCAAGACTTCAAGTTCACTTGTCAAAAATACCAAAGGAGAGCTAGCAGGTCGCATGGTGGTTAAAGCACTGGGCTCCCACATGGCTAATCTTGGTTTGAGTCCCAGACCTATAGCTTACTCTTTCACTTTCTCCTTCTCTCTCTCTGGTGAGTACTCATGTTCTACAGCAAATTAAATAATAATAATAGTAAATCAAACCATATAAATAATTGTTTAAAAATAAAACCCAAAAACCAAAGGATTCTTTTTTTTTAAGAGAGTTTTTTGCTTTCGGGTATGTGCATTTGCTAGAGAGACAAAGAGACAGAAAGTGAGAAATCATCTCCCGAGGGGATGGCCACAGCAGAATCCTGTCTCCTCTATTCTCCTCTTGGGATCTTGGGCATGCACACACACATTCCCGGCATGCATTTAAGCCACTGGGTTCGAGATTCAAACTGAACCCCAGTCAACTATGTGAGAGTCTTGCAATGTAACCATTATGCCATCTGCTGGTCCGACCAAAGGATTCTTTATTGGTAATTTATGTGGTTACACTTAGAAGCCTAAAATATCCACTGAGTTGGGCCTTTACATTTTAAACTTTATATTTCTTTTCTTTGTTTTTTTTTTTTTTTTTCTGTAGAGAGATTTTTGTTATAGGGCATGTGTGCTTGCCACAGAGACAGAAAACAAGAAATCACCCACTAGGGGGAATGGCCATACTACAAACCATTCTCCTCCATACTCCTCTCAGGATTTTAGGCACACATGCACACACACCTGGCCTCAGTTTCAAGCCTCCAGGTCTGGGACTTGAACCGCAGTTGGCCATGTGAGAGTTGAGAAATGTAACCATTACTTCATCTGCTGGTTCCTAAGTTTATATATATATATTTTTTGGGGGGGGGGGGAGAGATTTTCACTGTAGGGCACGTGCGCTCGCCAGACAGACAGAGAGAGACATAGAGACAGAAAGCGAGAAATCACCCCCCAGGGGGTATGGTCACGCCGCAATCCCTTCTCCTCCATTTTCCTCTCGGGATCTTGGGCACGCACGCACACGCACCCGGCATGAGTTTTAAGCCACAGGGTCCGGGACACGAACCGCGGTCGACTTCGTGGGAGTCCAGCAACATAGCCATTACGCTAACTGCTGGTTCCCCAGCTTATATTTTTGATATTATAACAAAACATGCTTTTTCACAACTGTAAAGAATAAGAAGCAAACAAAAAACCCAAAAACAACAGGTAATTGCTCTCAAGTGAGGATCTTTCAAATCACAGTGGCCCCAATTTGGATGTGAGGTAGTTAAAGATGTTTTGTGAGGTGAGTCAGAAATAGAATCCGTGTCTCTCCATCATCCCCAAGTCCTGCAATTCCGCTAAGAATGGGCCCACCACTTCTCTGTGGGGGAAGTTTGATCAAAAAAGCTATTTGTGTTTCGTCCTGTATCTTCAGATTTTTTTTTGCATAGAGTGCATGTGTTTGCCAGTAAGAGACAGAGAAAGAGAGAGAAAGCGAGAAATCACTTCCCTAGGAGTGATGGCCATGCTGCCATCCCGTCTCCTCCTTCTTCCCCTTGGGATTTTGGGCATGTATGCACATGTACTTGGCATGTTTCCCAAGCCAGCAGGTCTGGGAATTGAACCATCAAGTCAGTCATGTAGGACCCAGTACCAAAACTACCACTCCACCAGCTGGCCCCATGACTTCTGGTTTTCTTTTTCAGTTTTTGAATGTCACAGAAGCCTGTGGCCTGCTGTTATGAACTTATTCTATCAACTTGTCTTAATTCCAAAAAACAAACAAACAAACAGACAAATGAAAAGCAAAGTCTTATTCACATAAAATATAGGAGAAAATCCTGGAAAAACATACTAGAATAATCTTTTTATTAAGCCCTCCTGTATTTTTTAAAAACTAGTCTTTTCTGAAAAAGAAAAATAAACAGGGAACCAGCAGTTAGCGTAATGGCTATGTCGCTGGACTCCCACGTAGTCGACCGCGGTTCGTGTCCCGGACCCAGTGGCTTAAAACTCACGCCGGGCGTGTGTGCGTGCGTGCCCAAGATCCCGAGAGGAGAATGGAGGAGAAGGGATTGAGGCGTGACCATCCCCCCTGGGGGGTGATTTCTCGCTTTCTGTCTCTATGTCTCTGTCTGTCTGGCGAGCGCACGCGCCCTACAGTGAAAATCTCTCCAAAAAAAAAAAGAAAAATAAACAAATAAGTAACACTGTAGCTTTACTTTTCTAAGAAATCAAAATATTTTATGTTAGAAGTAAGAAGAGGAAGATATTAGTCTCCCATTGCATAGATTGAGCAAATGAGGCCCTCGGAGAGAAAGATGTCTACTTGGGACTCACCAATTACTATATCTTTTTGCTTAGCTTTCTTTCATTGCAAAGAAATACAACTTGTTCATCTTTGATCTCTCACCTGAAATAACCTCTGAAATTGAGGATTTGGAATTTTAGTGGTTAGAAATAAGTCTTCAACGGTGTCTTCCTCCTCGTTTTTCTTTACCAAGCTCATGGAATCAATCAGAGCATCAACTGCACTCAACTGTGCCTCTAAAACAATGAATAGAGAAGCAGGAACAAATAAAGTCATGATCTCCATTATTCTCCACTAAAACAAATACTTCCTATTATAGATATTCACAGCAATATCTAGTAGGTTATACAGTTCTACCTCTGCCAAAAATATCCTCTAGTCACGCAAGCAGTTAATCTGGCCTTGATGTTCTCATCTGTGACGAGCTACATCAAGTAGCTGATCTCTTAGGTCCTTTCCTGTTCTACCATTTAGTGAGCTTTTGTCAATAAAGTATATCAAAAGCAAAGGAGTGTGTTTCAGAGACATGCACTACAGACTCAAAATCCAACTTCCATATGGAGATTCAAATAAAATATTCCAATTAGCAAAATTAGTAATTAGCCAAAGAATAAAAACATTAAAAAAGAAAAAGAAAACCCCTCTAGTAATGAAGCATAAGCTTTGTTAGGATTTGATATCACTTTTATCAGAGTACAGCATCTTAATAGGAGGACACTATGGGACCAGAGTGAACTAATTCCCTCAGTTTCCCCAGTCAGAACTAGCTCTTTCAGGGACCAGCAGTTAGTGTAATACATGGACTCCCATGTAGTGGACCACAGTTTGAGTCCCGGACCGGTGGCTTAAACTCATGCCAGGTGCATGTGCGTGCGTGCCCAAGATTCCAAGAGGAGAATGGAGGAGAAGGGATTTCAGTGTGGCCATCCCCCTTGGGGGGTGATTTCTCACTTTGTCTGTCTCTCTGTCAAGTGCACATGCCGTATAGCAAAAACTTCTCAAAAAAAAGAAAAAGAAAAAAAGTACTAGCTCTTTCCTCTCTCAAAGCCTCTGGACACTAATCCACTGCATGTATATGAAAACCTGAGTGTCCGTCATACCCACTCCCTCCAAACTCTCAAGTCTCTTGAAAGCAGAAACATGACACTGTTCTTTATATCTCTCCTAATACCGAACAGAAATCAAGTGCTTCTCAACCAAAATTTACCAAGCCAACCAATATGGCACAGCCCAAAGCAACTGGGTGAAAGGCAACTCTCCCCCAAATGCTTCTACCTAAACCACCATGTGTAACTTTCATTCTGCAGATTCATACAGCAGTTCAGCTGTTGAGTGGAAGCACTATTTGTAGATCACCAGACCAAAGGTACAAAAAAGGAAACGGTCCTTGAAAAGTACATCATGCTTCTATTCTTCACCTGTTTAAATATCCCTTTTGTACCACTCCACAAAATGAAAGGGCAGACAGACATTCAGCATGAGGCATTTCTTCTCTCTCTGTTTTGGACTTCTCGGTGAGGTCTCAGGCAGTGACACAGCCATAGCACTGCTGCTGAACTGATGAATGCAGGGTCCGCTGGCAATAGCTAGCAGGTGCTACTTCCACATGAGAATATTCGGGGGTTATTACTTACTACTCCAAGGTAGGATCAGGCTACCACCACAGGTAGCACTGCACAACCCTCCAGAAACACCTACTGGTGTTCAAGTCTGGGACTTGAACTGTGGTCGGCCAGGTGGGAATTCCAGTGCCTTAACCACCACACCACCCACTAACCCCTAGGACCCAGTTCTTAACCTACTTCACAATTCCCTCATCCTACATTGACAGCAATTATATATTTAAATTTATAAACTGAAATATTTACTCATCAGCTGCTGGTTTTTATTGGTACATTTTCTACATTCTGTTCCCTATTAAGTTTTATTACAACTGTCTTAAATGGTGAGCTATTTAGAAGAGAAACATTCTACATAGTACCCTGACATCTGCAGCCAGATTCTTTTTTTTTTCTTTTTATTGGAGAGGTTTTTGCTATAGGGCGCATGCACTCACCAGAAAGACAGAGTTAGACAGAGAAATAGAAAGCGAGAAATCACCCCCCCAGGAGGGATGGCCACGCCGCAATCCCTTCTCCTCCATTCTCCTCTTGGGATCTTGGGCACACACGCACATGCGCCCGGCGTGAGTTTAAGCCATCGGGTCCAGGACTTGAACCGCGGTCGACTACATGGGAGTCCAGTGACATAGCCATTAAGCCAACTGCTGGTCCCTGGAGCCAAATTCTTAATAAAAGCCTTCTTCTCATCAAGCTTGAAGTAACTCCTGGAGGTCAGAAATTGAGTAGCACTGAGATTCACACTGTTACTATAAACTACAGAGAAAGGGCAAAGAGAAACATTAACCTCCAACACTGTCATTTTTGGTTCAAAATTACTTACATCAGATTTTTTTGCAAGACACTTAGGTCACATATTTGATACTGCAAGACAATTCACTTCTGCAGAGGCAAACCTGATCACAACTAGAGAATGGAGATTCATTTCCAACAAGCTGCACCCTAGATACAAGCTCTAAGTAAGAAAAGGGAACTCAACACTGTTCGGAGAGTTTAGGATAAACTTATCCATATTACTGGGAAAGCACGTGGTGAACTAACATGTTCATTACAGTGTCTGCATGTATGATTAGAATCCAACGAATCCACCAGAGAAATCCCAGCACCAACCAATGACTGCAGGTAGGTGATTGCCTGAGGATCTGTGTGTAGAGCCAATGAGTGAGTTAGAAGGAAATTAACTCACCTGTGGGAATGTATTTCTTACTATTTCGGAAAGAAGAAAACATGTATTGCCGCAAGTCTTCCATGAAAGGCAGCTGCACATACATTAAACACTAATGAGAAAGAAAGGAGATAAAAGCAGAAATGACCAAATTAATGGAAAATATATAACTGGCTCCAAATCTTCTGAAAGTGGCACAACAGAAATATTTCAAAAATCGGGACCATCAGTTAGCGTAATGGCTATGTTGCTGAATTCCCACGTAGCCAACTACGGTTCGAGTCCCAGACCCAGTGGCTTAAACTCACACCGGGCACATGTGTGTGCATGCCCACGATCCCTAGTCCCTAGAGAAGAAGGGATTGCGGCGTGACCATCCCCCCTTGGGGGGTGATTTCTCACTTTCTGTCTCTCTTGTCTGTCCGGCAAGCGCACGTGCCCTAAAGCAAAAACCTCTCAAAAAAAAAAAAAAAAAAAAAAAAAAAATTAAAAAAAAAAAAAAAAAAAAAGAAATATTTAAAAAATCAGCTCATATCTGGTACGTTAAAAGTAAAGTACATTGACTTCTGCTATTAGCTGTTCACAGCTGCAGACACATCAAAGAATATTAAACATAGAAGTATTCTTTTTTCTTTTTTGGAGAGGTTTTTGCTATAGGGCACATGCGCTCACCAGAAAGACAGAGAGGGACAGAGAGACAGAAAGTGAGAAATCAACCCTGGGGGGGGGTTAGGGGGGTGGGCACGCTGCAATCCCCTCTCCTTCATTCTCCTCTTGGGATCTTGGTCATGGACACGCAAGTGCCTGGCGTGAGTTTAAGCCTCTGAGTCCAGGACTCGACCTGAGATCGACTACCTGGGAGTCCAGCGACATAGCCATTATGCCACCTCTGGTCCCAAACATAGATGTACTCTTACATAGTAGACTATTGCTATAAAATGTATGACCAATATAACACATGAGAAGTCAGGATGACTAGAAGGTCGACCTGAAAGTCAATAAACTTGCCTTCTCTTTCCAGTAGAAAAGTAAGTTCACAGAAAGTTCTCTGAGAAACAGGAAATGATAAGGAATCTAGACCTTTATTTTAAATGAGAATACCCTAAATAAACTGAATTTTACAAGGATCACAACCAAAATCACATCCTCGACCTTTATGCATAGTCCTCATTTGTAAAAATGGAGGTAATTTCTCTTCCAGTTTGGTTCTGAGAAGTCAGGAAAAACGAAAACCTAGAGAAAGGCATAGTTAACCTTTACTGATTTAATAAAAAGTTCCTTATACACTTTCATAACTCATGTATCTTCCTCACATCTGAAAGTGTGACTCACAGGTCAGCTGTATTAACATTACCTAGGAGTTTTCTAGAAATACAGAATCTCAGGCCCCATCCTGGACTACGGAATCAGAACCTACATTGTAACAAGATCCTCAGATAATTACCACGCACATTAACAGCTGAGAAGCATTACTTGAAATAAAGGAACTGAAGAAGAAAACATCATGAATGGGAAAGACTTGCGGGTTTTACCTCATAGGTATCCTTGATGTGAGGAAAAGCCATTCCAACCTGAGGGTTAGACTTATTGTGATAAGCATATCGAATTATGGCCACCATGTCTAATTCATCCAACGCATGAACCAGGGAGGAAAACGCAACCGCTGCTGGCTGTGAAGAGAGATGCACGTGTTAACACAAACCCAACAGGTGCAAATGCTCACGAAAGAGCTAAGTCCTTAAAAGTGTCACCCACTTTTCTCCTAATTCAGCTTTATTTTAGAGGGATCTTGGGCATGCACGAACATGCGCCCAGGGTCATTTTCAAGCCAAAAGGCCCAGGACTCGAACAACAGTTGGCTATGTGGGAGTCCAGATAGATGTAACCTCTATGCCATCTGCTGGCCCCTATTTATTTACTTTTAAATTTGTTATAAGGTATGTGTGCTTGCGGGGAGAGTAGTGGGGGAGAAAGTGAGAAAGCATCCCCTAGGGGAGATGGCCACACTGCAGTCCCTTCTTCTTTCTCTTACTGGGTTTTTAACATCCATACATATGCCTGGCATGTTTTTCAAGCTGCTGGGTTGGGTCCAGGATTTCAACTGCCATGTGAAATCCAGCCACCCTAACCACCAGGAGACAGGCTGGCCCTAGATCTCTTTATCTAACTTTTATTTATTTACTTGGGTTTTTGCCATAGGACGTTTGTGCTCACCAGAGACAGAAAGAGGTAGAGAGAAGAAAAATGATTAATCAACCCCCAGGGTGGATGGACACACCACAATCCTTTCTCCATTTTCCTCCTAGGACTTGGGGAACACGCACACATGTGCCTGGCATGATTTTTAAGCCTCCAGGCCCAGGACTTGAACCATGATCAGCAATTTGAGAATCCAGCACCTTACCCACCATATCACCTGCTGGTGGCCCCCATGATTTCTTTTTCAAGTGTCCCTTTACCCACTTCAAGCTCAAACTGTACACATCTGCTTTTGATTATATTGACTACCTTTTCTGTAACTTTACTTCATTAATTAAATCCTCTACCTTGTCACTTCAACCTTCCTACTCTGAAATTTATCTCCCCAAAATAAACTCAGGTCTCAGCCTTCTTAAATAAAATCTCTCCATAAATTATTATCTGTATCATTCCTTCCCTTCAACTCTAAATTTCATGAAATAAGTCTTGCTATTTCTACTGCTTACAACGCAATTATTCTTTACTCGAAATCAGCTACTGTCCCTACCTCCTTACTGATAATAACCTCTGAAGTTATTCATGTCCTCCTAAGTCCCAAATCCTTGGTTCCTATTCCCTTTATTTGACCTTAAGGTAGCATCTAACTGTCCCTCTTCCTCTATACTCTTTCCTTCTTTGGCCTTAGAACATTCCCCTGAATGTTCTATTATGTGAGCCACTCCTCTCTGAACTCTTCTTTTAAATTCTGCTTTTGGCCTCTTTCTTGCCTCTCACTCTAACACTCCACCCAAGGATTGTTTCATCTTGTCCCTTGAGTGATAAATCAAAAATCTTGATGGCCAGCTCTAAAACATTCCTAAGATCCAGACTTAATGTCTACTAGGTACACTTACCTTCAAGTGTCCACCAAACTCTATCGATTTTATCCCTATCTTGTCTTTCAAATCTATCCATACTCTTTAAGAACTGCCCTTCTGTTCACAACGCTGATTATGTCACTCCTCCTAAAATCCTCCAATGGTTGCTCTATTCCAGCCTCACTGAGTGGATCATGGGTAGGGGCTGGGGGGTGGTTTAGATCTTGTACCTTCCCTCCCCTGTAGCTTCTGCTCATATAATTTCCTCCTAGCTTGATAATGTCCCCTTCAAATCTCGAACTTCTAACCCATACTTAAGGCTCAATAAATTCTCTCCATTTCTGATTTGCCTTAGCTTTCTCTTCAGAATTCCTGAAATACTATACTTTTCTTAGAATCATAGCTAACCTGGACCAGTTAGCCATGGATATATTCCCATTTTCTCCACTAAAAACCTATGACCTCAATACCTCCCCATCAAAACCCTCTGCAGATTCCATACTACATGCATTACCTTTTCTGTTCAGTTTGAGAAATATTTGCTTAGTGCCTATTCTCTGCTACGTAATGTCTTTGGCCCATGAGAAAACAAAGAAGAGCTCATGGCCTTATTAAGCTAATACATTCTTTACTAGCAGAAATGAGATATGTACCAAATACAGAATGTGTATGTTCTATTAATAAGTCCCAAGAGAGGACTAGATAAACATAATGGGAGCCTGAGGAAAAGATTACTTTCAATTTGTTTGCAAGTTTTCATGTGTCTTTGACAGGACCAATTAGGATATTTAAAGTAAGAAAGGATATGGTCATGAATGAATGCTACATTATAGTGCAACGCTACACCTGTGTATACCTCAACCAAGGCTCCATTTCCTTTTTATTTTTAAAGAATTATTTTATGTAACTTCATTTATTTATTTATTCATTTAAATTTGACAAGAGAGGGACAGAGCAATAAAATGAGAGAGGGAAAAGTGAGAAAGCAAGCCACCAGGTCCGGGACTCAAACTATGGTTGGTCATGTGGGAGTCCAGCACCCTTAACCACCATGCCACCTGCTGAAACCCCCCATTTCCTTTTTCC